AAAGGAAAAGTCTAGGGAGCCATGTAGGAGGACCAAAGTTGAAATGTAGAAATTTGATAACATTTCAATTTTAAGTGCAACATCATAAATATAGATAGATTCTGCTTCATGTCTTTGCAAATTGTCTTCAGAAGTAACCAGAAAAGTGAATGAGGTACCTTTTCTCAACTGAGATGTTGAAATAACAAGTTTGTCTTTGTATACTGATTATTCTTATTCTATCTGGAAAAGCTGAGAATGGAATTCTTTATGGTCCTTGAACAAAATCAATTTTCTGCTATTTCAGACATACAATTTTTCATTAGTTCATATTTTTAAAAGCAAAGGGGAAAGACCTTAGTGAAAGAGAGAGAATACAAATTAGAAAAAAAAATATAGATCAGAAAAAAGAGATGTAAGTAAACAACACATATTTTATAAATCTTGAAATATTTTCCTTTGTGCTCTTTTAAAACAAATATTCTGTTTTGTATATTCTTTTTGTAGTTGTGGTTGGACTTGGAGGCAGAAAGAAGTAACAGATTATCATGAATAAAAACTATACTTGTAATGTTTTGAGGCCAAACTCAAAAGCCTTAGAAACCTTACAACACGACTGATATGGAAAGAATTCACTGAGGAGCCAAAAGGCATAATCAGTATAGAAAAAGGATTTACACAGATAAAAAGAGATGGCAATTGGCATTGCCCCTTCCCTTTCATGTGTGTATGTGCTTTCAAGTCAGTGTCAACTCCTGGCTACTGCCTGAACTTGTTCCTACAGTTTTGTTGGCAAGGTTTTTTTCAGAAATGGTTTTATTCTTCCCCTCTAAAGGCCCAAAGTAAATTTTATTTTTAGTGCACAATGTAGTCCTTGATTTCACTTTTCCATTTTATTAATTGTAAGCATAACATACAAATATAACACATATTAAAGTATCTTTCCACTATTATGATCAGATGCCATTTTTCCAATGGGAAAAGTGTTTTAAACATTCTAATTACATGGAAGGACAGAAAAGGAATACAGAGTTTTAGTTTTTGTGGAAGCATTTGTCATGTACCCTTGAAAGTTAACTATTTGTTGATGTTCCTCCCATTCAGATCTTTATTTTAGGTATCATATAAGTGTTTTTATTATAAAAGGAGCAGAAATGTTATGAAATATGATCCAAATAATTGAACAAAGGAAAGAATAGCCATGTTATTATACAGACTGATAGGTATATCTTCAGTATACATTCTCTGTCTGATCAAGTGGGATAGGCTGATGTGAAGTTGGTTCCTTAGGTAGCCTTCCGGTATGACATATAAGGTTATATAAGTGATCACCAACACTTTGAATTGAACCTGGAAGCAAACTGGGTCCAGTGCACTTCATGGAGCAAAGGTGTTAATTGTGGTCTTGATATGAGAATATGAGTCAGAAGAATAATGTTATCTGTTTATATATTTAAATTTACATTTCTGCCATTTTTACTTATTAAAACTACACTTATCTAAATATAAATAGATTGCTCAGGGTGATATGAATATGTATGTAAGACACCTTATGAACGATGTAAATTCATGCACATTCATTTTTTCTTATCATTTTTAAAAGAATAAAACATATTTTTATTTTATCTATTTTGTACTAAAAATATGGTCAATTACCAGCAAAAATAGTAAAATAAGCAAACATTGCTAAAGCCAGAATCTGTAGTATATGTTTATATGGATTCCTGGGGAAATTATGATAGATTCAATATTTTACAATAATGATGGACAAAATTCTGTAATAAAGTAGATCATATTAAAACAAAAGTATTGATATTGTCTATTACTAAAGCTTAACCACTAAAAGGGTTGAGCAACACCACCACAGTTTAAAAGTATACCAAAGTTAATCAAAATATAACAGTCCTTATTTTTCAAGGGCAGCTTCCTTTAAATATCTGATACAGTAGAACTGTTATTTCCAAATTAGACCTGTAGGTAAAATGATAATATACTGTCACAAGTTGCTGAGATTCATAAAACATGAATTGGATAACATGTTACAGTTTGTAATATCCAGGCTAATCCATGACAAGAGTCTATTCTACAATGAGCAAAAGTAAAGGAGATGGAGCTAAGACAGTACATCTTTGCTCAACACTTATACAATGAATTATATTATATGTCAAAAATCAATACATAGTTTTGCTTCCATCAGTTTTAATGCTTTATAGCCATTTTATAGCAAAAAAAACATGAATAAATGTGTGTGCATTGTACAAAACAAAGTATGCTTCGCAAAGAGTACAATTGCTAAAATTTCTGTACACTTTATTGACTGTCTTAATAGGTCAGTTTGGTATTCATGCTGAAGTTTTTATTATAACTTAAAAATGCAGGATATATCATAACCGTTTATATTTTTAAGGTCTTTCAACTGGAAGTTTTCTATGCCTGATTTCCTAATGTAGGCAATTAATAATATTTCTTCCAGAAGAAATTTGTTATTATTTATCTTCTCTTACATATATATATTCTATGATGAAGATTTATTAATCTTAAATCTTGTTTTAAAAGTACTTGTTGCTTGTCCACAATTTAACTGTGTATTTTTCAGGGATTTTTCATTTTTGAAAGCAAAAAATTTATTAATGCTGACATTTTTGCAAATGCAGCAGCAAAAATGCTAATTCACACAAACCACACACACATACACAGAGAGAGAGAGAGAGAGAGAGAGAGAGAGAGACCCCGAGAAGAATAGTAGAAAATGAAAAGAAAATGCTCATTCCGTGTTTTCTCTGAAGAAAAAAGAGGAAACTCATGGGACATAAGTCAATAAGTCAACACTGGAAGTTTTTAAGAAGAGACTGGACAGCCATCTGTCCGAAATGGTGTAGGGTTTCCTGCCCGAGCAGGGGATTGGACTAGATGACCTCCAAGGTCCCTTCCAACTTTACTATTATTATTATTATTAATTTCACTGCTGAAATTTTCTCTTTACAAAGGGAGCTGTTAAACTAGCTTTGGGTTATAGCATCTCAATTGTCTAGAATACTTTCCAATGGCATATAGAGTGATATTACTATCACCATACCAAAAAAAAAAACAAATATAGTGCAACTAAACAAAAAATAAAGTTTCCAACACCAAGGAAATCATGGTAACTCAGCAATCCATAACTGCCTTCCCAACTGACTGTTTCATTGTGTCAATATAATCTGTCTCAGAAGAAATAAATGATCATTTATTATCTAAATTATTATCCAAATTTATTATCCAACACAAATTAATTAACTAACAGGTACAAGAAGTCATACAAACAGAATAAAAAGAAAACTTACATTTAAATATGAAAGTCAATTGAACTAATTCTGTTCAAGTATACTTCAAATATGAATATGTGACATTGACAATGTACAGTGAGATTTAAACTAAATCTGTGCATTCAATACTTTCATTATACGAGGGCAATTCAGAAATAAACCTCCATTTGGTTATCAATGACAGACACTCACAGATACGGAACTTATTATACACATTAGCAAACTACAACATTACATTACTTTTCAATATAATTGCCATTCAAATTGAGGCACTTGTCATAATGTCTTACAAGATTTAAAATTCCTTAGTATAGGGGTCCCCGACCTAAGGGTCGTGGCCTGGGATTGGGCTGTGGGCTTTTGGCCAGTGGGCCACAGAAATGGCTGACCAGTGCATGCACACATGGTCACACATTCCCCCACTCACACAAGGGTCTGCGGTCCCATTTTTGCATGTGTGCAGGCACAAATGGGGATGCTAGCGCGGGGTGAGTGTCCATGGCCCCTTTTCCCATGCGCGAATGGGCCACTAGCTGCCACAGAGGGTGCATGACCATTCATGCATGCACACAGCACCAGCGCATGTTGCATGTGCAAACAGGGCCGCTAGTGCTGCAGTGTGCGTGGTGCACCAATTTTGAAGCTGCTCTCCTTCCCTCGAGTCCTCAATCCCGGAAAGGTTGGAGACCTCTGATATAAAGCACACAATGAAAAAGTTCCTTCATGAAAGTTACTGCTTGCTTATTAATTTACAATTTGCATGAACTATTAATTTATTGGTTGGATTACTTTTGAACATAATGTGATATTATTCTGTCCACAGTAATAAAAGTACCCAGTTCTGGTATATATGTAGTTATAAACACAATGAAAAAAAATTTTTTTCACTTACCATGGGGTACCAGGTGTTTTAAATACCACCAGAAGGATGCTCCAGGCAAGATCTTGCTGTCCAAGATAGTTTGGCATAGATTAAGGGAAGCATTCATGTCCCTGGCAAGTTTTGATCAAGAACCAATGCTGTAAGTCTAGAAGGCTTTCATGAGGTACAGAGTACATTGTATTTATTTTAATTACTAGTGACAGTTTGACTAATTATATTTAATTTAAAATGGTAATTTTATGATAATTTAAAAACAGAATGGATTGGCAGATAAAAAAGTAGTTTAGTTTTTCTCTTTTGGGACTAACTAGTAAGCTAGTAAAAAGTCACAGGAGTTTGTTTTTATATATGATAACTGCAGTTAGACTTATATGTTCAAAATGAGAGAGGTTCAATATTGTACTACCTATAATGGGAAATGATTGATAAAGAAAATAGAAGTCGTGGAGATGACTAAATTAACTTCTTTGATTAGAAAAAAAATCAATATCTACATTTATGGTTGACTGGAAACCCTGATATACAATAAAAAACGCAATTATGATTTTTAGTTTTGATTATTGCAAAAATCTTTCTTTCTTTTTATTTATTTTTATTTATTTATTTATTTAATTGATTTATATGGCGCCCAATCCCAAAGGACTCAGGGCGGCATCCAAAATTAAAACAATCATCGAGAATAAAACAATAAAATAATTCAATCATACCGCAAAAGTACTTTATAGTACTTTTAATAAAGATGTATGCTAAAAATTAGCTCAGCTTTTCAATTCCTAAAGATAGGTCCTTCTTCTATTATTCAAAAATTGAATTCTGAAAATTGAATTTTATAGATGTCAAGAAGAGAAGAGAAGAGAAGAGAAGAGAAGAGAAGAGAAGAGTTTAATCAGATTTGTCCTGCTAGAGGATACTATTTGCCAGGAGTAAGCTGCATTGTATAGTATAAAAGTTTGTGAACTGACATGGGTTCACTTTGGGGAAATCATCAAACCCTGGAGGTGACCTAATTCCAATTTATTTCTACAAAGCAATTCAGGAGGCTTCAAATTCCTTCAGACCATTGCTTTCACATTTCTCTGTAGGACAAGCACAAATGCTTTAACACTGGATATATTTCAGATTGCTTGCAGTCTTCCCAAGCCTGGAAGAACTTCAACATACACAAAGTACCTCCAAGGGTGGGAACTTTAATTGAACACTGTAGTTATCCTGTTTGGCCCTATCGTATCTTTGGAAAGGAAAGGATCACCAAGGCACTACTTTCTTCTGTCCTTTAATTAGTAATTGGGAACAACATAAAAGGATTATTTTGCTCTTCTGTATTTTCAGGTTAATTCAGTTTTGCAAATAGAATTCTTTGTTGGCAACTTTTTCTTCAAGCAACATATATAATTTGTACTTGGAATTCACCTGATGAACAACAGAATCAAATTAACTACTTACCAGGAAACAGAAGCCAAAAAGAGCAATCCAATCATCCAGAACACTTCCCAGTACAAACCATGGAGCAGCTTATGAATTGTTGGTATTATGTATGTGGGATAAACTTAGAAAATTAAAAAAATTAAATTTGAGTTTGTGGATAGTTAGCATATAATACAATATTATTAACAGATTTAGTAGGCTTAACATGCAAAAATGAATCAGAGGTGGTATAGAAAGATCCAAGAATTAAAAAAAAACAAAGTAGAAACATATTTCCAAAATCTCAGAGTGGAAAAGATACAAGTGGATTTCAGAAATACCTATGATAGCTAAGGAAAAGCTTTTATTGTGGAAATCAGGCCAGATTGTGGATTATATTAAGAATAATGGGGTGCCAAGAAAGGAATCTTCACAAAAACAAGAAGCTACTATAAAAACTAAACCTGGAAAACCACGTGGGGAAGGATGGGAATTAAGGATGAATATTGTTTTCCTATATACAGCAAATCTAGCAAATTTTAAACATGATTCATCCCTGAAAGACAACATGAAGAAAGGATGCAGAATCTGGCAGATCTGAATCCAAGGAATTCAAGGCAGACCTGAATCCATGGTTATAGCATTAGTGGCAACATGTAACTCTGTTTCTGCCCTTGCTCCTGTAAATCTCAACAGTGATATTATGTCCATAAGGTCGTCACCATCTTTACATCAAACACTAAAGGGCAAAGGTGCAGACTGAGAGTTTCTAGAATAAAAGCCTCTACCTGAGATCAGTCAAGCTTTGGAACATCTTCCATGGACCAGGACCATTTGTAAATCTATGTCTATATCAGTTTCAAATTTTGTCTTCTTTCTCAGAAAGCTCAACTATTTACCTGGTCCTGACAATCCTTTTTGCTCTACTTATTGAAAATCATTGCTTTTAACAGAGGTTCTCAACCTGTGGGTTGGGACCCCATTTGGGGTCGAATGACCATTTCACGGGGGTCACCAAACAACGCAGTCCGCCATTTTTTTCCCCTTTTCTTTAGCTGTGCTACTCCCTTTTATTCTATTAGCTTTTGAAAGCCAATAGAATAGACTCTCTTGAATAGAGTCTAATTCTATTGGCTTTCAAAAGCCAATAGGAATTGTCCAGGCTGTCTCTGCCCTGCTGAGCCCGCCAAAAGTCCCATTCTGCAAACGGTGCTGCACCAGTTGAGTAGTCCTTGACTTACGACCGGTTGAGTAGTCCTCGACTTACGACCGGTTGGGGGTCGCGGCATTAAAAAGGTTGAGAACCACTGGCTTATAAGGATATCTGTATATTCCAGACTGTAAATTAGATTGTAACTATTATGTTTTAATAAAGTCTGTTCAGAAAAGGTTACATAGATCCATCCTCAGTAGAGTCAATAGTGGATTTCCCTTGCGATTCTACTTCCAATAATATCTTGAACATGGCTGCAATTTTGTATGAATACTATACTCATATTTGTATCTGTGTATTACCTCCATAGCTCTTTCTAAACTCAAAAATATGTAGCAAGAAAAAAGCATAATTTATTGAACAAAATGTGACAACATTTTAAGCGTCAGGATTATGCTCTATATTTAGTACAACTATATTTTTTTCCAGTTGCAGATCACTGCTTCATTTCCTCTCAAGATTAATGAGAAATAGATATAAGAAACATATGTATGCTAATTTACAACATTTGTTGTATATTTCTCACAAAGAGGAATTTGAAGATATTTGATGAATTGATGCCAAAATTTTCTGTATGCCAGTTTTTTGGTTGCAGGGGGGAGACACTGGCACACAAAGAGGCCTGGCAATGTCAATATACAGTAAAGTAATTTATCTTTGTTTAGATCACACTGTAAATGAATAGTTACATAATAAAATAGTTACATAATAAAAAGTAACAGATGGTGAAAAGGCACTTACTTTGCCACAGTTTGAAAGCATGATAAAGTGTCTCGATGAACTCATTTTATTTACTTTTTTCTATGGATATCTGCCCTGTTTAGCCCTTATGGAAAGAGAAAGAAGTGAGGGAGGAAGGGAGGGAGGAGGGAAAGAAGGAAGGAAGGAAGGAAGGAAGGAAGGAAGGAAGGAAGGAAGGAAGGAAGGAAGGAAGGAAGGAAGGAAGGAAGGAAGGAAGGAAAAGGAGGGAGATGGGGGAGGAGGGAAGGGGAAGGGAAGGAAGGGTTCTGTTGAGTTAAATACTACCTTTTGTTCTTCCCTTAGATCTCTGGCTTATAGTTGCTATTATGGTTGTTCACTTTTTATAGTCCCCTATTTCTTCAGAAATCTTTTCATATCTTTTAAAAATGTGTAGACAATCTGCCTGTCTATCTTACAATGGATAATTAATTACATTAAATATTTTATAGCCATATAAGGGATGAGACAGGTTACTATTTTTCCCTTCTAGTAGCCATTTTTAGTAATACTGTGCCTAAAGTGTAATTATATATAATTAGAGCCCTGCTCTATTGTTGGAACAGAAGAAAAAATGGTGCTTTGGAATGTGTGAGGAGGCAAATTTATATAAATGTATACAAATTCTTAAAATGGCTATACTAAGAACTATAAATCCAATTTCCTAGGATAATCAACAATGCATACCTTCCACATCTGCTTTGTGGTTCCACTAAAAGATACACTGAATATAAGAAAGTGCAGACATACATGTCTCAACAGATACAGCAAAAATTCCCATCTGCATTTGAAGTATCTTCTCGACTGCCTCAGCTCACTACACTCATTGCTGATTCCATCCTATAAAGAAGAAAGGTATGATTTCCTCAATACCATGCTTGGCAAGGTTGATAACTATAATATTCCAGCAATGCTAATTCATACCTGCTTGAAAGATCTACATCTTGCTTTTGAAAAACATCATCCAAATTTTTCTTCATGGATCAGCAGCTGACACTTCTTTTGTCTTGACAACTTTGTATCTTCTAATTGCCATATTCCAATCAAATAAATTATCCCATCAGATACCTATTGTAACTATTAAATCATATTTGCCTTTATTTATTAAGGCTTTAAGCTGATCTTGCTTGTAATCCATATTCTAAATATTAGTATATACAATGAAGGCTATCATAAGTAATTAATGTTCTTCCTATGCCTTAATTGAGTGGTTAAGAGGCCCATTATAGCACTACTCTCACCTTCTTCTAGAATACCTTTTTGTTCCTTTTTGAGAGGGGAGGTCCTTAATACAGAGTTTTCATGTCTTAAGTCCACATTTTTCTGTTGCCCTGTTCAAGTTCATCCTGCTTCAGGCCAACAAATTCCTTTCAGTTCTTCTAACATATAATCTATCTTGTGACAGAAATCTCTCATCCAGAAAACAGAAGATGTAGTTTCAACAACCAAATATCTTCCCTCAACAGAATTTCCCAGCCAGAATCTTCATCTTTTCCATGGACTAGAAGAATGAAAGCAACACTCAAAATCTTAAGATTCTCGTACTATCATTTATCTCTATATAGATTGCAGGAAGGGACAATTATCTGTATACTTTACAAATGTTGGCAGCTGCTCTGGGTCCCTGTCTGGCCCATACACATTTCTTCTGTTTCATAATTGAAAACACACCAAAAAACAGCTATCACTACAATGCTTCTGTTTTTTCTCTTGTCCCCACAACTTCCTATCTTCAGTTTAGCATGAGCCATTATTCCTTGCAGGTTTAAAGTCAATTTCTTCTGGAGGGCCCTGAAAATCATTGCTGAGTTCAAGAAGAAAAGAGAATGTAATCAAAAGAAAAGCATAGCATATCTTCTTAAATTCCAACTGTTGTTATTATTTATTAATGGTATTATACATTGCCCATATACATAAATAGATAGATGATAGATGGTTGATAGATAGATGATAACTAGATAGCTAGATCTTAAATGATGATGATGATGATGATGATGATGATGATGATGATCGAAGGGACCTTGAAGTCATCTAGTCCAACCCCTTGCTCAGTCAGGAAACTCTATACCACTTCAGATAAATGGCTGTCCAGTCTCTTCTTAAAAACTTTCAGTATTGGAACATTCAAAACTTCTGGAGGCAGGTTGTTCCACTGATTAATTGTTTTAACTGTCAGGAAATTTCTCCTTAGTTCTAGGTTGCTTCTATCTTTGGTTAGTTTCCATTCATTGCTTCTTCTCCTGCCTTGAGGTGCTTTGGACTCCCTCTTCTTTGTAGCAGCCCCTGAGATATTGGAACACTGCTATCATGTCACCTCTCATCCTTCTTTTCATTAACTAGACATACTCAATTCCAGCATCCGTTTCTTATATGTTTTAGCGTCCACTCCCCTAATCATCTTTGTTGCTCTTCTCTGTACTCTTTCTAGAGTCTCAACATCTTTTTTACATCATTGTAACCAAAACTGGATGCAGTATTCCAAGTGTGGCCTTACCAAGGCATTGTAAAGTGGTATTAACACTTCATGTGATCTTGATTCTATCTCTCAATTTTGACAGACATGAACACTGGGCCCTATCTAACAAAATGAAATTCAGTGTAGAGAAAAGTAAGGTTTTACATTTAGACAAGAAAAACCAAATGCACAAGTATAGAACAGCCAGTATACTGTAGAATAAAATACATTTGTAAGGTATTTTTAGAACATATTTTGTATTTTTTTTTGCTATCTTGCTGTTTCAACATTAAAAACACTAATTGTATAATACTAAAAAATAGCGCTATTAGTATTATTAATATAGCACTATTAATATACTAATAGTACATAGAAGCAGTTTAGTGTAGTGATTTAAGATGCCATGCTAGAAACACAGAGAGTGTGAATTTTAGTCCTGTTTTAGGCACAAACACAGTTGGCTTTGATCACTATCTGTCCCAGGAAGCAGGCAATGGCAAACCACATTTTAAAACTTTGCTAACAAAATTGAGCAATTAGTCAAGGCTGCTGCTAGGAGTTAACATTGACTTGAAGGCACAAAAAACAAAGGAAGAAAAGAAAAGAAAAAATTACAGCCCCCAAAAGCTAAAATCTATGTCCTCTGTAGCGGAAAAATGGTTGGCACATGACATGTATTCCTGCCAAAATGCAGTTGTTGATAGCTTTTAAAAAAGTTTTTAAAAAGTTTTGTTCCATTGGACAAAAAAAAATGTATAAGGAGGCTTTTCTTTCTTTTCTATATTTTTTTTTCAGTTTTCCAGCTGCTACATACAATATTTGAGGATTGATAAGTTACCTTAGGCCACTCTCTTTCTCTCAGCCCTTGGAAAGAGGCAATGGCAAACCACTTTTGAAAAATCTTGCCCAAAAAATTGCAGGGCTTTGTCCAGGCAGTTTCTAAAAATCAGAAATGATTGAATGGAAGGGGAGAAAAAAGCACAAATAACTTGTACAATGGATGAGGCAGCAGTGAATAAGTCAAGGCATGGGTAAAGAAATGTCATAAATAAAATATGGGAATCCTTCTCTTCAATGTGATAATATGTGAAAGGAAGAAAAGAATGCTAATATCACCATAAAAACAAATACACATATTGGCTGGGATCCATTTAAAAACAAGCTTATACCTTTGTGCTGTTTTTCAAACATCAACTTCCCAAACTACATGACTGCAGTGTATAAATCGGTGGAATTAATTTTCAAGCAAGGAATCATAAATCCCATTGGTCATGCCCAGCCACGTTTTCCGCCTTAATCCTAGTTGAATTATACAGTAATTAAACTCATAAAAATAGTTTGTTATGCACAAATACGACCTTTGTTTTCCCAATCTAATTACTACACAAAAAGAAGCATTTGAAGAATTCTTTCTTCCCTTCCTATCATTAGGAATTTAAAAAATGGAACTTATTTTTGGAAAATAATTAGAATAACATTATGTACACCTGTTCTCAGTATTCAGAAAGTTGCAATGCTGATATTCATGTAAATGGTTTAATAATGTATGTGAAGATGTGAAACAATATATACAAAAATGCATGACATTAGGTAAATCCCTTTAGAACTTTATTGGGAAAAATGCAAATCAAAATCTC